TTGATGTCCGGTTTCACTAATGTTGGCTTCGACATTTTGCTTTGAAAAGAACAAAATAGGATTTTCGATTAAAGCAAACTAATTTTTGCAAAATAATTTGTTTTGGTTTGACTAATATTCATATCGAAGAAATGTAATATTTATGAACATTATGAGATTTATCGGGATTTGTTCAATTGTTGGAACGCAATTAAAGAAATTGAAACAAGATATCTGCAGTAATTCGTTCTTAAATTTTGATTGCATTGCATCCAAAAGGAAAAAAATGAATAATTTTTCGAATAAAATACAGAAAAATCGCTTCACCTCAAGTTTAAATGCGCGTCTTGATGATATAATCACAGTATTGCAACTATTCATTGTGCACTTGGCAAACCAATCTCAACCTATCAATTAATTCTATCAAACTAACTGTTCGCTCTGTTTGTTTTGCATTATATACGATAATAGAAGTGCAACAAAAGTGTTATACGGTGATGTCAAACGTAATTTGTGGGCAAAAATGACACGTACATTTGACATTTGAAATGTTTTCTTCTTTGTATTTATTGCACATGAAAACCACAAGATAGACTGATAAGGGTGTGCATTATTCGTTTCTCTATCAAATCGCATGAGGAGATTCAAAATGATGATACGTGAATAAAAACTTCAACATGATGTATGTTTTATTCAATGATTGTTTTGTTTGTTAATTTTCATTAGACTCAAGTAAAAAGAACCACATTAAGAAGAAACAGAAGCCTAAATTTCAAACAATATATTTCATTTGGAAGCCAAATAAGTTATTTTTTCCCGGATAATGAACTCTCAATTTGATCCCATAAATATCTCTTCAAAAAAAATTCATTTTGAATTTTGAACCAAATGCGTTTGCTGAACTTAAATTCCACAGCGAACACTATGCAAACGTTAGTACATACAGTATTATATGTAATCTGGTATACGTACAATTGGAGTATTGACTATACTTTGTGTTGAGATATAGATGTTTTTATGTTTAAAATTTGGTATTTGGAGTTCGAATGAAAAAAGTCCAATTGAATACTGTTCGCTGTTTCTATGAATGAAATTGATAGTTAAATTACCAGAATTACATTTGATAAACCACTCAATATGCTTAGTGTGGAATGTTTGTGATATTCCCTCTCCTTTTAAGTACACCGAATACCGGCAACGAATATAACAACACTAACATAAAATTGTTTATTTTTTATTTTTTAATGAACAAACAAAGCAAATAAGTTAAACATATTTGCGGCTTTATTAATCTTTGTACAAAGTACATGCTTCAAGCATGAATTCGGAGTACTGGACAAATTTCTTTGTAAACCGAGGATTGTTTTTATTGAACAAAAATGATTTTCCTCATCAAAAATCATTGTGAAAAAGAATTTATTCTTTGAAATCCAGAGTACGGATGACTTTTGCTGGATTACCAGCAACAACAACGTCCGATGGAACATCTTTAGTGACAACGGATCCAGCACCAACCACAACGTTATCACCAATCGTGACACCTGGACAAATAATGGCGTTTCCACCGATCCAAACATTGTTGCCGATTTTCACCGGGAATGCCAATTCATAGTACTCGTCGTCATCTTTACGGTATTTTGGATTGAGTGGATGAGTAGCTGCGTAGATTTGAACACCTGGTGCCAATAAACTTAACGAAAATTATTATAATTAATTTTAAATTTCTTTTGCATATAAAGTAATTAATACTAAAAGTAAATAAGATTGAATAATAGCCACCAGTTATCGCCTATTGTTATCGGCGCACAATCGAGGAACACACAGTTGAAATTGGCTTCCACATTGTTTCCAAGTGTTAAATTGTAGCCATAATCCACACGAAACGGTACTTCAATGAAAATTTTCTTGTCACGACAAGCTGGGTTTAGGAGTTCCTCAAGAATTTTTCTTCTTCCTGCTTTATCACCAACCTCCGAATCGTTGTACTTTCTGATGAGTTGACGTGCATTCGCTCTCTCATTGGCAAGCTGTGGATTTCCAGGACGATACGGGTAACCAGCAATCATTCTCTCCTTCTGTGTCAAATGCTCATACTCTTTGATGTCCGGTTTCACTAATGTTGGCTTCGACATTTTGCTTTGAAA